TCTCTGCCTTTCTGTTCAGTGAACCTACAAGTGCTACTTAAAAGTAGATACTAAAACAAATGGGCCATCTTTTCCCTCTTCACTGCCTCCCCTCTGCTACTATAAATAACACTGCATTAAGTATTTTTGAGCACCACCCTCATCCTAATTCAGAATTACTTTCTTTAGCACTGCTTCTCAGAATTAGAAGAGCTAGCTAAAGACTCGGTTCACAAATGCATTTTCTGTTCAAACCCTCCTGACCCTTCCTCCCGGTGTCCCCTGTCCTTCCTGCCCACCCTTTCCAATTGTCTCCCGCAACCGTCCACCCTTCATGCATCCCGAAAACCTGTGATCTGGACCAGGGAGCTGCACGCTCAGACTCACGGGCCGGCATCTGCGGTTGTCCAAAGGCCTGGGAACAGTGCAGCGTGACAGGGTTGGGCTGTGATCAGAGGAGGAGGCCCAGGCTACTTGATGGGAGAGTGGCTGAGGCACCGTCGGACTGGGGGGCCTCTGGCTATGCCCGGCCAGCTTTGCCCCCCACCACCGGAGAGAGCTATGTGATGGGCGAAGCCTTGAGTGTCTTCCGAGAGCGGATCCCAAGTGCTACCCAACCCCTGAAAGGAACAATCTTTTTTTTTTTTCAGCTTTAATTGAGTTTATTGGTACATTTTAGGGGTACAGTACAGTTACATTCATTGTTGGGATCTTGTACCTCTACATGACAGGTCTTGATTCTCATTTTTCCCCTTACCCCTGCCCTCCCTTCACCCCCTCCTCCCCTCCCCATCTATAAACACTTTATTTCCATCTTTTCATTCTCTCACATTTTTTTCTTTTCCCTTATTACCCTCCCCCTACCCATCCCACCTTCCCTACACCTTTAGCTCTGAAAGGAACAACCTTGAGACAGTCTTAGCTGACGGCAGAGTGTCACCAGGTCAATGTTTGCTTTCCTATAAAAACTCGCAGCACCTCAGCAAGGGCCTCACCCTGAGCCCTACCTCTGTCCCTATTCTTTTTCCGCCTACCCCTCTACATCTCCCTCCCTACCTGCCTCTGTCTCTCTCTCCCTGGCTGCGCACCAGGTTCCTTGCTAGGGACATTACCACGGTCAGTCTTTCTTAGGGACACTCCCCAGGCTGGGATAGAGCCTCCTCGCCCACCCCAAATCCACACAGAGCCTCTTGTCCTCCCCTCCCAGGACTCCTTGTCTTCTGTTGCCCTGGTCCCCGCACCTAGCCCAGTCTGCACTTCCTGGGGCCGAGGTCAAATGTTCCTGAGATAACTGGAGCACTAGCTAACCACAGAGGGGCCATTTTGGCCTCCACTCATCCCCACCCAGAGTCACGTACTCCATTATCGAATGAGCTGTTTCAGAAACCTGCAATTTCTTTCATCTTGCTAACATTCCTCCCCGTGTCCTTGGGTCCAAGCCACTCCCTCCTTTCAGCTCACACTTCTCCCCTTTAAAAATCACACTGCCCTTCAGTCTTACCTGCAGTCCCTCTTGGCAGTGTACTCTGATCTAAATAAACTCTTGTCTTTATCCTTACTGCGGTCATGACCATCCATGTCATCGGCCTCTGCATTGCTGTCTTGCAAGGATTTGGGCATCTTGTAGGATATATGCTCTCTCTCTCCCTCCTCCCTCCTATGTTCTGGTGATTCTGGTACCGGTGCCTGGTTGGCAAATTGGCCTCTGGGCAGCTGCCGGTCGGTCTCTGGCTGGGGTGTTTCCCCAGTGGGGCCCAAAGGTCTCCAGATTGTGACCCTGACTGCCACCACCCATCACGTAGGAGCTAAGGAGCTCCTTTCGGCCCCTTGCAGAAATCCTTGGGCCCACACTCCCGACGGAACTGAAAGCAGTGAACAAAGGATGGCCAGCGAGAGTCCACAGGGTAAGGAGCTCCTCCTCTTCCTTCGGGACTCTCCTCATGCTCCACACACACCGGGGTGGGGAGCTGCAGCTCATCCGGGTGAACCTCCGCATGCTGCGTGGACTCCCATTAGCTGTTTCTCTGCCTTCCCCCAATATTTTGCTGCTACTGGACTCTGGCCTTGCCCTCTCTTGGCAGGATTTCCCGTTCTGGAAGATTCACAAGGGACCAGATGTGCCACCTCTCCGGGGTGGTCCGTCTCCCTTGCCTTTCATGAAGGTGGAGAATGCACCTCAGCAGGGCCACGTAGCTCTCAGGGCCTCTGTCCCTTTGACTCGCCCTTGGGACAGCTTCTTAAAAACTAGTACCAATTTGACCCTCAGACTCTCAAAAGAAATGTCTCATTTTTGTGTGCAGCGCTGTCTGACCTCAATACAAGCACCTGAATCAGAAATGCTGGTCTTTTAATGGCACCCCAAATTATGACACCATCCTACATTCAGCCTTTTCTCCCATAATCTGTTAAAAAAAAAACACCTAAAGCCCCTTGCATTGAGACCCTTATGGTTCCATCACAGCATCCTCAGTAACAAAAAGACCACCACACCCATCTTCCTGAATCCTTCACCATCCATCTCTCCCGACTCCAGGCCTGACCCTGACATGCTTCATGACACTTCCGTTGGCCACCCTGGGCTGCCCAGTTGAGCACCCGGTCTCTCCTGCCCTGGCAACCCTCCCTTCAGCTGCTCCCTCAATGTCTGGATGCCGTATCCCCCTTCTAACTCTTGCCAGTTTAACTCTATCATGGTAAAATAACAACAGCATTACGAGAGATCTCTGTTACAAGTCACCTAAATGCAAAAGCACTAACTAGTATCACCCAGGGAGAATTCTAACAGACTAGTCTGTTTGTGGCAATAAACCTTAAAACTTCTCAGGAGTAAGATGATTAAAACATGGCAATCCATCTAAAAGCGCCCCCTGTTTAATGTAACCATCCTTTGTGTCTTTTCTGTTTGTCTGCCTGCTAATCTGTATTTATAATAGCCGATTCTAGCCTGGCAACTGCCAGATAAAGCCCCACCCGTGGCTGAAAAAGCAGCTACCTAAACTCATTTGCTTCAGTTTTCTCCACAGCAGGTAGAATTTCCAGTTTTCCTCAGAGTCCCTGTGTCCAACCTCATCTCCCAAGATTTAGGGAAAATGCCATTATTTGTTAGTGAATAATACAAATTTTTTAATATTTGAGTAAGACCACAAGGACTATAGGGTACTCCCAGCAGCAACGAGACTGAGCTGCAAACTCAATCCTGTGTCAAGCAAGTACAGAGCGAGGGATGCTGGGACAGATTTAGCAGCGTTCCAGTGCTAGGGGTAAACACCAAAAAGGTGGCAATGGTAAGTGCCAGGGTCTCCCTGAGCTCACACTGGGGTCTGAGGCTGAGCTGGTACAGGTAACAGGCAGGCTACAAAGCCACATTCAGGCAGGGGAAGCAGCGGAGACACTGGATGACCTGTGACTGTCATCTTAAAGTGCCTCATAAAATTTTAAAACTAAATTATCTGATCAATTGCTAAACTCCTCCATGTTGTAGCCATCTAAGTATTTTGTCCCCCACGGTTCCGATTCTTCTCTAAAATATTGATCGTAAAATTCACTTTTAAGAAGACTCCATCAAGTACTTCAGACAAATTAGCTATTTCTTTGATTGTCTTTGATAAAAATTGATAAGCCAAAAAATTGTTTCTTGAGTCTAAACTGTTACACAGACTGAATCTGTCTGGCTTTCTTTTATATTTTTCTTTTAAAGCATTGTTAAGTCTTATCTCTTGAAGGAGTACAACTCCTAACAAAGAGATCTGATCCATTATCTTTTTTTTTTTTTTTTTTGGTACCAGGGATCAAACTCAAGACCTTGCACTTGCGACACAGGTGGCAGAACCACTGAGCTAAATTCCCAGCCCTGATCCAATATCTTGAGATGTTGATAATCATCTACAAAGCCAATAAAATTAAACTTAACAGTGGACTCCAGGTCAACAACCTAAGTGCTACTCCTAAGAAACCTCTTTGTTGAACAAATGATTTCTATACCTACATTTCATTCTTCTTTTGGTCAAATCTCTATCTTTTCAGTGGAAATATTTTTCTTATATTTAGATGTTTTGAAAATAGTTTTGCACCCTGAGATCAGTGACATATTTCTACCTATTTTTTTTCCATATCTTTACCTGGAGGCACCTGACCCTTTGCTAATTAACTTACTCGGGGGCTGAGAAGTGGAGCGATGCACATGCCCACTGTCGCTGAAGACTCGAAGCTCTAGTGTGTCCAGGCTGCTTTAGGCTCACCTGGCACCTGCTGGGTTGGCTCCAATTCAGGACCGACCAGCCGCCCCCACCAAAAACCAGGTCCAGATCGGACAGGACAGCAGGGGCAGGTGGAAGTCGGCTCGAGGTTATGAAACTGAGAAACCTCAGGCTCCGTGGCCAAAGGCGAACACAGTGTCGGCTCATGCTGGTGAAGGCAGGCACGAGTGGGATTGGTGGTTTCTGGGGCTGCATGTATCTCCAGGGCCTCTCTCTCACTGCTCCCCTTGTCCCCTATGTAGGCAATGTCACCACACACCCTGGTGCCTAGACGAACCACAGCCAGAGCCGGGACAGGAGCAATGACTGCCGTAGCTGTGGCTCTCGCTTAAGAGGTGATGAGGAAGGTGCGGGCAACACTCCCCTACCCTTGCCTCCGAGCCCAGGCTGCTCAGTGTGGGGACCCTCACTGGACCCCACGAAGTCCCTTTTGTGCACAATCCTCGGCCCTGGTGCAGATGTCTGCCCTACCTTCCCTCTCCACTGGCCTCTGAAAGCCTCCTACCCAGGCCCCAGCCTCATGCAAGTCCACCTGGGACGATGGCTCATCAGGGGGACCTCAAGGACATCGTGTGGCCCTGTAGTTCTGTGCAATGTTTGTGTGTTGAGCTCTGGCCACTGCTCGGTCCAAGATCTCCCCACCTTCCCCACGGCTCCCCCTGCGGGCCATGATCTTAGGGAGCCAATGCAAGGCCCCTTCGTGCACAGGCTGAGGCAGAGTGATTGCTCAAGTTCTTTATTTAGAATTAGACAGAGTCAGGGGAGGGTGGGGGGCTGTGGCGGGAGTGGCAGTCCATCGTATGCAGCCCTGTCTTGGCAGCAGCAGGGGCTCAGCCCATGCAGACCTGGTTGGCAGCTGTGACGGGAAGAAAAGCGGAGGGAGGAGCCTCAGGAAGTGGGGACACCAGACCAGTGATCTTCCATCCCCAGGCGGCTGGGCAGACCCCTGGGCAGCTGTGCAGAGTGATCCTGGCCTCTCTATGATCACCTGACCTCTGGCAACCCCAGTGGGTATGTGGGGTGTGGTGGTGGACAGGGAGGCCAGGGAGTGAGAATGGACAGTAACAATGGGAAGAGGTGAGCAACAATGCTTAAGAAAGGATTTCCCGAAGGTCCTGGGATTTATGCTCCAGGCCGGCTCCTGCTTGGCCCAGGCAGGGTCGCTCTTGCCTTTTGGGGATAGGAGTGGGACTGGAGCAGATGAGACCTCGAATCCCAGGAACCCAGGACTCTGGGCCTTTCCCATGTCCTCCCAGAGCGTCACTTACCCAAGTCACACTAGGAGACACATTTGTCTGCGGGAACCAAGAAAAGCCAAAGAGTAAGAAAATGCCCTGGAAGAAGGCCCGGGTCCCGTCTCACCCACACCCTCCCCGTCTACCCTCCCATGATCAAGACCCCAACTAGAGACCCTGTGACCCTGGGAGGGACAGGGAAGGTGTGAGGGACCCAGGGGGATGCTGGGGGACGCAGAGGGCGCACTGGTGAGGACGCGGGGAGGGCCCTTGCTCACCGCTTTGCTGGGGGATGACCATGTGCTCCAGAGGGAGTTTCTTGTGCTTCATGAACTTCTTAAATTCCCGCAGGGCCTCTGGGTTTTCCTCCGGGGTCCTCGCTGTGAGGGAGGGCCGGGAAGTAGAGGGGGGGACGGCTGCTCAGCTCTGCAGGGAGCCGATGGCCCTGAGGACCTGGCTACCACCCCGCACCAGGGGCTTCACTCTGAGAAGGGACAAGGTGCCAAGGTGACCCTGTCTGTGCCACAGACCCCAGGAAGCAGCGCTCGGCATCTGTAGCAAGCAGGTCCCCTGACAGCATGGTCAGTGCCTGAGGGCCTGCAGGTCCCTGACAGTCCACGCCTTGCTGACACCCTTCCCAGTCCGGAGCTCACTCTCTACCAGAGCAGCACGCCGTGCGCAGTGCTCAGAAGCCAGCCCAGGGGCCTCCTTAGTCCCCAGTGCCAGGATAAGGCATCTAAAAGTTGAGACAGGAAGCTGGGGCACGAGACAGGAAGAGCTTCTCACCCAGGAGCTGTGCGAAGCGTACAGGCATGCCAAACATCTGGTGTTGAACATAGAAGATGATGTGGTCTTTCACGGACATCTCCTCTACAGATATGATCATGTTTTGTGCTGTAGATGAACAGAGAAAACAGCTCTTTAGTGTCTTCATTCCTAAAAAAAACACTTGAGACCATAAGGAGTGGTCTGGAATGTCGCAGGCACCACCCAGGAGACCCAGCCAGGCCCAGGCAAGCCCTGTGCTGAGCCCTGTGGGGAGGGTGCCAACTGAGCCAAGGACTACGATGACAGAGGGCAGGGACGTCGAGGCTGGAGCTTGGCCCAGACCTGAGCAGCTGCCCTGGCCTGCATCCCAGGCCCTCAGCCCGCACCTTCCCCGTGTGTGCACAACAGGACCGCCCAGAAGGGAGCAGGTGAGCTCAGCCTGCTCTGCAGATAAGCCAGAAATATCTAGTGTGTGGAACAGGGGCACGAGTCCTTCAGGAAGGGTGCGGCAGCTCCTCCAGGGGCGTGGGCAGAGAAGGGGCCCCGCCCTCCCCAGCAGCGACCACTGTGCAGGCTGAGCCCGGGCACAGTTGGGCTGGACTCACTGGTTTTGAATTTTTTAGGATTCTTGGTTCTGTGCATCTCAACTGTCTTCTCTTCACATTTATCCTTATAGCTGGAAAACAGGAGGCTCGTGGGAGTCTGTGCCCAGGTCACACCCGAACCTGGCTCAACTCCCCACATCCATCGACCCCAACCAGGTGGCACCAAAAGTTCCACTGCTTCCCATCAAAGCTGTAGGATGCTGCCTGGGACTGTGGCCCCAAAGGCCAGGGGACATTTCGCCCCCTTCCCTCAAAATGTGGTTGGGGGCAGAAGAGACTCAGGGGACCCAAGGTGGGCCATACTCACAAGAAGGAAAGCTGGACTTCATAGTCTCCATTCTCCAGAGCTGTCAGCGTCACGGGGTATGACTTCTTGGGTTGCATGTTCTCTGGCATCTTCTTATTGGCTACCATGGCCTTCAGGTACCAGATCCCTTCCATCTGGAGCAGGTTGGGCCATGAACCCACTACAGCCCAGCCCACATGCCGGCCCATAACCTAGACACTCTTACAGCCCGGGCTGCAGCCCCCAGAGGCAGGCGGGGCTCCCACCTCCACCCCCGTGCTCAGGAGAGCAAGCCCAGCACTCAGGTGCCCAGCTCCTGTGAGGGCAGAGCACATCCTCCCTCCCTCGGACATGTTCTCTCTGAGGACAAGGCCCCAGGCCCAGGGGGGGACCCACTGGGGACCCGGCCCCTCAAATCCTTCTTCTGGATCTGGGTGTCATGCAACAAGACCCCTGACCGACACCTGCTCCCTGTTCTGGCTACTCTGCTGGAGTAGCCATGGCTGCTGACAGCACAGATGCCCCCAAGTCTGGTCAGTCTGAACTACGAATGTCAGTCAGAACCCAGCCATAGATGCCACCTCTTGTAGAAAAGGCTCCCGGCTGCTGCCTACTCCCCAGCAGCGCTGGCCTTTCTTCTGCCCCCACCCACCACTATTGCCCAGCCTCACGTTTTTCCTCTCTGGTTCAGCATCCTGGGCCTGCAGGGAAGCCAGCAGACTGAGCAGCAGGATGGTCCAAGTCAAGGTCTTCATCTCCAGACTGTTAGGCAGCTCACAGCTAGGGCAGTGTCCGGCTGAGCTGAGGCGTGTGGAAGGGCTGCCGCGGTCCCTCATGGGATGGCCTTTAAATTCCTAGTTTCTGGTGGCCTGTGAGCACTTGGCAATGACCACAGCCCTCCCGCCCCCCTGTTGCAGCCAATTACACATACACCTGAGAGGTGAAATGCTGTTATTGTTGGGATCTGATTAATCAAAATTTAGTTTCACCCGGAGATGAAAAGACAGGCAGCACCATCCAGCTGTGCACACAAGGGTGCTGTTTGCTGACCAGCCTGCCCCGGGGAGATGCACCAGTCACTTGCAGGCTTGGGGACAAGTGCCTGTGCCAGCCAGGAAGGGAGATCTTGGCTTTCTTCACCCTCCCTCTCCGCCCTGTCCTCCAGCTGCCCATGGCTCAACTCTCTGGCCAGCTGTTCCTCCCTCCCTCCCGAACCTTGCTGCTCCGGGAGGGACCCAGCTCCTCAGCCTCACACTGTCCACCTGTTCCCCAGAGTCCAAGCTCTCCTTGCCCTGGGAGCCCACCCTCATTGCCCTTCCCCTTCCTGGGGTGCCCCAACCCTAGAACTTCCGGTGGTGCGGGCACTATTTTATGTCTCAAGATCAGTTTAGTTCACCACCTCCGAGCACTCACCTTCATACACCTTGCCACCCTGCTTCTTTCTGTGTCCTAAGGCTACCTGTGTTCTCTTACCTCCCAGCACCATCACCTTGGATGCCAGGTTCCAAGACAAGAATTTTCCAGCAACTCAAGATTCATTCCATATCAGAGGCCCTCTCAACATCACACCTGTCTTAACTTCGGCAAGGAGGACTTTCTCCCTTCATCTCTTTAGCACTCTTTAGCATGTAGCAGAGGCCATCCAACTAAAAACTTGCCACGGTTACTATTTCCCCATAGCTTAGGGCACCAGATGGTGAAGTTTGTGTTGCTAGGTGGTACGTGCCAGGTGGCAGTAGGTGTAAGCTGGGGTTGTATTTTGATTGTTAGTGTGTTGTTGTGTGATGTGTGTCTTCACGGTTTCGTCTTTGGCTCTCAGATCTCCGGAGAAAGAAAGTATCTGAGGACCCTCACCCCCATCCAGATGTTAGGCAGACCACAAGATTCCAAACTTCAGGCCCATATAGTAGTGGCAAAAGAGGAGTTGGGAGGGAATGAGCATATTATGTACATGTGAGGATTTGAATTTTTGTAACCAGAGGGTAGGTTCCAACGAATAAATTGCAGAGATGACGGCCAAGAATCTGTCCCTTGAGTTTGTCACAGAGGCTACTTCTGATGTCGAATCTGGGTCCACTTTCATTTCCCACGTCCCAGAGTGGCCTGGCTCTGTGGCTTGCACTGACCAACAGAAGGAGGCAGGAGCGACATGTGTCCACTCCTATCCCAGCTCTTAAGCGGCTGTAACTGCTTTCACTCTTTTGGAAGTTATGACCTGTCTCATACAGAAGCCCACCAGCCACGTGGGGAAAAGCATAGGAGACCACGTGCAGATGGGACTGGGGGACGAGGGGCCTCCCACCCCCAGAGGCCCCAGTCCCATCAAGAGGTGCCAGAAGTCATCCTGGAGCCTCCAGCCAGAGTCACCGTCTCAACCAAAACAGGGAGGCAGAGACACAGGGAAGTCATCGAGCCCTCGCACAGGCAGAGCGCTGGTCAAGAATCACGATGCTGTTTCAGCCGTTACGTTTTCAGCAACAGACACTGAAACACCACCCCTGTCAAATCTTAGCCTAATGAAATTTCATTTTGGGAACTGTGAAGCAGCAAATTCTGATTCTGTCTTTCCTCCTACATCCATTTGCTGGCTCGTTCTGTACAGAGCCTCCCTCCTCCACCTCTGTCTCTGTCTCTCTTGACATCACTAAATTTACTAATTTACAACCTTTTCTCCAGGACTGAGGGCGTAGCTCCGTGGCAGATGCTTGCCCTGGATTTGATCCTCAGCACCTCTTCCACCCAAACTTAAGCATATTATAGAAAAATGCGTTCATTATGAATTTTCAAGCAAAACTTGTACTCAAAGTATCAAATCCATACAGAGGAATCCAAAACTCCTCCGCAGTCGGGGTGAGGAGCTCCCTTGAATGCACCTCCCAGGCCATACAGTCTTGGCTATTTGGCCAGTAACTGAGGGGACGCGGTCACTACACCGCCCTGGGAGAATGGAAGGCAGCCTGTCCCCGGCATCTCCTGCAGTCTATGCTGGGTTGTATTGTTGATGTGACCACTCATCCCCACCAGCTCCAGGATGCCGTGCCTCTGAGGGGACCTCAGGGTTGGGGTTCCTTCCCCCAGCCCACCGTGGGCCCCCACTCCCTGCCTGCAATCAGAGCTCTAGCCCCAACCCCAAACCCAGCCTCTAGAGCTTTCCTCACCCTAGCATAGCTTCCCCCAGGCCCGGCCCCATCCCGGACCGCCCAGCCACGATGGACTCATGTCCAAGGCCGGGCTCAGGGGCTACCCCCTCAATGTTGTGTGAGACAATCTTGGGGTCCACTGACCTGGGTTCAAACCTCCTCCGGGCCTCGCCACGGTCCTGTGAGAGTCGGGCTCAAGGGCGACCTCTCAGCTCAGCTTGTGTGATTGGAATGGATCAGCGACTGCACCTTGAGAGTGTGCTGAGGAATAAAGCAGGAAGATAAAGGTGCCCAAGAGGCTGGACTCAGATGAGAGCCCAGCACAGGACGAGGTTTCTGACTGTCGCCGGGGATGAGTGAAGAACAATGCTCCCAAGTCCCCCAGGCGTGGCTGGGCATGGGTGCTCAGAGCTGAGTGCCCTTGAGTGCTGGAGCAGGGACAGAGGACATGAGGCTGGCCGTGCAGACCCCATGGTGTGAGGTGCGCTAGGGGCCAGGGGTCTCATGCACCTTCCATCTCAGGTCCTGGCGGGCCCCATTTGTACATCAGACAGTGGACACGAAGCCCAGCCACCCTGAAAATGTCCTCTACATCTTTCCATGGGAGGGAGGTTTGTGCTGCCCCAGCATTGGGCATGGGGGAGGGGCCGGAGGTGAGGGCTCTGATTCTCGTGGCCAACACTCTCTGAGACAATCAGGAAACGGAGCAAGACAATGGGCAGAACTGACCGGCGCCTAGGGCACTGGCAGAGTGTGGGGTAGAATGGAGGATTATAGCTTCCAATGCCAGGCTCAGCCCTTCCGTGGGTCAGCTTAGATATGGGCTCTGTGGTCCTGGAGACCCCTGCCCACCTCTCCTTTATGGGCCCTTTCCTCTCTGCTCTCTTAGGTCCACCCGGAAGTGCAATCACACACGCGCACACATGCACACACACACACACACACACTTGAATCACCATGAAATAGACCAGAGGAGCAAGAGACACTGGGAGGAGACGGGAAGAAGGAAGAGGTTGGAAGCAGCCAGGAAGGGAAGTACGTCCTTCCCGGTCACCACTCCCGGGATCCACCTCTTCCAACCAGACCCCATCTTCTAACATCACATCAAATCAGCTTCCAAAAGCCCTGCCTGTGGTTGCATGAGGATTTGCGGGGGAGCACTCTTGATCTAAACTATAACAAGCTCCAACCCAGAGCATGTGCTACTCAGGATTGAGGAGCAACAAGGATTGAAAGGAGGCTTAAAATGAATATGAATAACGCTTGGAGGTCATCTTCACAGGGGGCGCTGTAGTCCATTCCACTAACCATCTATTTAAATTGTTTTTTGGTTGTGGCCCTCACCACACCGAAGCTTCCGTTATAGAACAAACTCGAGTTATAGGGTGGGTAGGTCAGTAAGAGTGGACTGAGGTAGAAAGTGTTGTCTGACCATCTCAGCCCACCTACAACTGTCCCAGACAGTTCCCGGCACACTGACAGATTCGTAGCTTTCCACCTCAGAAGTTTTTCTCCTGTGTTCCCTGTGGTATACACGGCTGAAACCCAAATGTGCAGCGAATTCCCACGTTCAATTAGTGGGAGTAATAACTCATTGGACGTACAGTCAGTGCTCAGCCTTCCCAAAAGAAGGCTCACGTCTCAGGCACTTTTCTTGTCACTGAGACACGTTACCCAACACCCATAACTTAAAGGAGAAGAGATTTATTCTGGCTCATTTTTTATAGAGGTTTCAGTCCATGGTTAGCCAAAAGAGAAACGGTAGGCAGTGGGGTGTGGAGGAGGAGAAGCTGCTCACATCCCGGCAGCCAGGGAGCACATCTTCAAGGGAGGAGCTGATGGTGATATGTTTTGGGTTTTTTTTAACATTCTAGAAATATTTATTCCATTGCTGACTGTTAGGCTGCAACATGCAACTGTCAACAATGAGTTACCACCCTCACTCCTACAGCAGCACCAAATGCTATGGTACCACTAAGGTTCTCAGCCTTTCAAAGTCTTACTGCCAATATCATTATGCCACAGCCAACCTGGTTCCCTTTGTGTAAAGTGGAGCGATTCCGGTGATCACCTCCCCCTTCCCCACTTGGGAGTCCCCTTAGTCAGAGGGCTGCATCCTGTTTGGTCGAGCAGTGTACTACTATATGTTACCTTTACAACCTTGGCACCTGTGTGATATTTTGTTTCAAGTAAACTGTGTGAAACTTTCCCTGCCCCCACTTAGCAAAGTTCTGCTCCTGGAAAATCCCACTTGTGCACGCCCTTTCCCTGAGCCCTCCCCAACTAAAAGAGATGCTTAAAAGACACCCATAAGCTGCTTTTCAGGGCTGAGAGTTTTTCGAGAGCAAGCTTGCTCTCAACCGCCGGCAATAAAGGACTCAAGTTTGGCTCAGAGTGTGGTGATTCTCTATAATCTCTCAAGATTGAGTGTAACGATTACTTAAGAAATAAACCTTGTAGGGACTTAAAAGCACTTATTCTCCATAAAAAGTAACTCTGATTTCATGCACAAAACTCCAATGAGCAAATTTTAGGTCCATAATAGAAACAAAAAAAAATTATTCTAGTTTTGTAAATTATAAGAAATAAAATAAGCATTTCTATTTGCCTTATAATGAGGAAATAACATTTTTTTTCCTACCAGAAATCGGGACAGTAACTCTGATGATTCCTTTGAGTCATAAAGTTGCCCACTAGTTTTGTGTCCAAAGATGTTCAGAAATAAGCAGTTGCCTTATCTTTCTTATACAATCCAAAGAAATATTTCTGGTATGTGCAGGAGTTACAGGTTATGTATATACTATAGATCCTTGTGATAACATTCAAGAGGGCTATTCTCCCCATTAGAAAAAAACTTAACCTTGAAAGGTAAAAGGAAATCCTCAATATCCCTAAGCAAAAAAGGAAAAACAACCACAGGTACTTTTATTGGTCAGTAGAAACCACTGCAAATGAATTCTCTGTCTCTAGGGCAGAGAATTCTCTTGAAGAACTTATAACAACTGAGACAGGAATGAAGTGCCCTCAGAGACTTTAAAGATTATTTTAAAATTCGTATGAAAAATCACAGGAGCTACAACTTCTAGCTTCTAGAATTTCTAGACTTCCGACTAGGAGATCTGCAAGATTTAAATTTAAATAACTACACAGCGGAACATTTTCCATTTTAGTATTTGAGAACATCTTAGAGGATGTTTATGGGATGTGAAACTGTTGGTCACAGGGGAATTTCTAAAATGTTAGTAAACCATGGGGGGAGGAAAACAAAAAGCAGGAAGACTGCAGTGCTCAAAGTGAATAGGGTGACAGACTAGCTCTGGGCTGGGACTTCCTTCTTAATCCATGGGCCTCTGGCTACACAATGTTATACTTGCTCTTATATTAAATAAACCAAATCCGAAAAATATATTTAATAATTTAAGTCTTTTTGTTCAAAGAGTAAATGAGAAAAAAAAACTGTTAACATGATGAAAAAAAGAGCTACCTCTACAGGTTTAGCATAAGTGATACATGTATTCAAGTACATCACTAAAATGAAAAACTCCAGTTATAATCATTAAAAATTAGATATCTAGATTAAAATCTAAGCGATCATGTGCAGAAATGTATGCTGGGGGATGTAGCTCAGTGGTGCTATGCCTGCCTGGTAAGCACAAGATCCCAGGTACAGGAAAAGAAAGAAAGAAAGAAAGAGAGAGAGAGAGAGAGAGAGAGAGAGAGAGAGAGAGAGAGAGAGAGAGAGAATTGCACAATGTTGATAAAATAAAAGATCAAATAAATGTGGATACATGCTGTATTTATGGATTCAAAACTTTAATATAATAAAGATGTTATTTCTCACAAATAATGGAAACATTTAAAGTAATTTCTATCCAATTCCCCAAAAGAATTTCTATAGGTGTAGTCAAGATTATTTTAAAATTCATATGAAAAAGCAAAGGAGCTATAATTTCTAAAAAATTTTTAAAGAAGAATTAAGCGGGTCAATGAGGCTACTCAATTTCAGTCCTTATACTTCTGCAGTAAATTGATATTTGTGGCAATGGCAGATGGATAGATTCACAGAACAACAGGACAGACAGCCTGAAAGCCCTGAGTCAGACCTACACACCCTGATCCAGACGGCTTTTTACAAAGATGCAAAAACAACTCAATGAAGGAAAGGCAGCCTTCCTAACAAATAATGTGGAGAGATGAGACATCTATAGACAGAAGACACACGAAGACCCATAGCCTAAGCCTCATGCCTTGCCGTGGCTCAAATCTTAAGTGTCCCCCAAAGGGAAATATGTTGAAGGCTCAGTCCCCAGCTTGTGGCACTATTGAAAGATGGCGGAACCTTTAGCAGGTGGATCTAAAGATAAGTTAGGTCATTGAGGGCACACCCTGGAGTGGGAACATGAAGGCCCCAGCCTCTTCCTCACCCTTGCTCTGTTCCCTTGGTCCCTGGCAGCCAAGAGGTGAGCAGCCTCCTCCACCACTGGCTCCTGCCACGATGCTCTGTGCTGCCGTAGGATTATGTGACCATGGACTGAAACCTCTGAGACGGTGAGCTAAAATGTGCTTCTTCCTTACAAATAGTTTATCTCGAGTACTTATCACATTGACAGAAAGAAAAGTAGCACACGCCTTAGGGATCACAGACTTTCCTGGGAGACATAACACCCTAAAATTTGTAAAACGAAATAAACAGAAAATCTTTAGAATATGGAGCTCTGTTAAGAGTTTTTAGATTTATCATCAAAAGTCTGAGCCATGCAAGGAAAATTTGACAACATTGCCATCAAAACGGAAACCTTTTTCTCTGTAAGAGATACTCTTATGCAATGATGTGACAAGCTAAGGAGTGAGAGATAATAGGTACCAGCTGCCTATCTAATAGTTTCTAGTTTTTACAAGCCCTTCTGTACCACAACAGTTTTTAAAAATCTGAAAATGGATGTGGTGGGGATACAGCTCAGTGGTAGACCACTTGTCTGGAATGCACCAGGTCCTGACTGGTTCAACACAACAACAAAGCAAACAACAAAAAGCAATCAGAAAATTGACAAAATCCATAAAGGACGTATCAGTCACCAAAAAGATGTACAGATAGCAAATAAGAGCAGGAAAATATGTTCAGCATCATTAGTGGAATGCAATAAAAGTCTCAAGGATGTCATTACACACATTTCAAAATGACTACAAAGGACCTAGTGGCTACACACAATTCTAGTGAGGACCAGTGGAACCTGGACAATTTGTGCATTCCTAGTGGAACT